TGTCCAGAGGAGGGACAGTGGTTTGGACATGTCCAGAGGAGGGACAGTGGTTTGGACATGTCCAGAGGAGGGACAGTGGTTTGGACATGTCCAGAGGAGGGACAGTGGTTTGGACATGTCCAGAGGAGGGACAGTGGGTATACTGGTAGAAGGATGTTAGAAATGCAGCTGCAGGAAAAAGACAAAGAGGAGACATATGGATGCAGTTAGAGAGGACATGGAGGTAGGTGGAGTGAGGACAGAGGACACAGAGGACAGAATGAGATGGAGGAGGATGACTTGATGTGAGACCCCTGAAGAGAGAAAAGTCAGAAGAAGAAGAAGAAGAAGAAGGGAGCTCACCTCTGACAGGAAACATCAGAAGCTGCAGCCTGAATATCCAGGTCTACAAAAACCGATGATAAATAATCCATCCATCCATCCATCCATCCATTATCTTTACCCGCTTATTCCATTTTGGGTCACGGGGGTCGCTGGTGCCCATGTCCAGCAATCACTGTGCGAGGGGCGGGTGGTACACCCTGGACGGGTCTCCAGTCCATCACAGGGACACATAGAGACAAACGAGACAAACAACCATTCACTCTCTCACTCACACCTAGGGACAATTTAGAGTTACCAATCAGCCTAACATGCATGTTTTTGGTCTGTGGGAGGAAACCGGAGTACCCGGAGAAAACCCACGCATGCACGGAGAGAACATGCAAACTCCACCCAGAAAGGCCCCTGGACCGGGGTTTGAACCAGGGACCTGCTCGCTGAGAGGCAGCAGCTCTACCAGTTGCGCCACCGTGCTGCCCTGATAAATAATAATTTTTGAAAATCTTGTTCAGATCTGCCCATCTTCATTTCTAACGTTTACTCCAGTAGATTAAATCATAAACGTGGGAACGGCTGCCAACATGAGATTGATGAGGGTGATGAAACATGTTGCACGACCCAGATTAGAGCCGTGCACACAAAAAAGGTTATGATTGTCAAAAACTGGCTGCAAACTGCTGCCTCACAGCTCGTTGGTCACATGATCAGAATCCACGAGGCTAGTCGCCTGCTAGCCCCAGCACCGTGAGCTTCGGTCTTTAGTCTTATTTAAATCTGCTGCCTCAGACCGGACCTCTATATTGTGTTTTTCCTTCTACGTGCACGAGCTGATGCAAAGTGAACTTGACAGAAGTGCTCACCTCTCTCTCTGGGATTTCTGTCTGGCCCCAGAAAGTCTGCAGGAGAGACAGAACAAAGTAGGTGAAGCCCAGACGCTGCAGCACTCCGGGGATCCGCAGCCAGGACCAGGACACTGGGACCAGTCAACAAACACAGTGAACACACGTGAGGCTCAGAGGGATGACGTCAGGAATGGTGCAAGCTAATCAAAGGTGCCCCGTTATCTCTGGGTCTCCACAAACACTGGGTTGAGAAGCTGCTGCTGGACAGATTGATGGTGATCGACACATTAGTTAATTGAAGACCTCGGTCACACAAAGTGCTGTGAAACAATATGATCCCATCATTGATCCAAACGAATCAGATAAGCGGCAGAAATCTCTCCTTACGCAGGAAAAGAGGAAGCTCTTCCTAATGACCCTCAGGTTAAACCTGGAGGTTACACCCCCACTTTGTAATTTATCGCTCTGTCCCCTCCTCCCCGTTCACATGTCGTCTTATAAACTGGATGACTGCAGCAAACTGGGACACGTTTTGTTGTGTGTTTTAGTCCGTCTGTGGAAGCAACCCTTTATTTAAATTCTCTCTGCTGCCCACGGCCTGAGAACTTCCTGTTGTAAAATTACACACAGGAAATCAACCGAACGGAAAAAAAACTCAAAGTTGAATAAACGTCTCTCGATTGTTGCCGTCTAGTGTTTCCCTTAGTTTACTTGTCGTGGCAGGGTGCTCATATCTACCGCCGTTTCTGTTGACGGGGAGGTGGAGACGGAGCGCTACCTCCATATTCAGCGCATCTGTATTGCACATTGCTAGCTTACCGCTAGCTAAGCTTGTGGGGGGGGGGGGGGGGGGCTCAGTTCTGTTGACAGGGCGGGCGCCGCTTGTACAACGATAGAGGAAACTGCTGTCGTTTATCTTTTCTTGTAGCGGCTTAAATTAGCATCCCGTTGGTTAGCATTTAGCATCAACATTAGCACTGAAGGATAATGATGCACGTCAAAGATCCTGCGAAACGTGTTCGTGCTCGGATTATACGTTGTGGATGACTCTCAGCTACTACCACAGCAGCGTTTCCCCTTCCATTATACGAGCAGAGCGCCCCGCCCGGTCAACAGAACTCCCCCCTCCACCGTCAATAACTACGATGTAGCGCTACGCTAGCTGTGCGCAATACAGACGTGCTAGCTAAAAAGCTACAGAGGTCGTGCTCCGTCTCCCCCATGCTAAGACGCCCCCCCCACTCGAAAACTGTCGGTACACACAGCATGTCACCGAACACCCCCCGCCCCCACCAAATCAACAAAAATCACAGAAGATATGAGCTCCTTGTCAAGGCAGGTAGCCATCACTGCGCAGCATATTTTAGCTACTATCAGGACAAAGAAACGAGTTTCGGCTGTTGTTCAGGTCGATCAGCTGTGGAGGCCTCGATGGCTCAAGTCGACTTTAAAAGTTTCAGTTGTCGATGTCGATTCAGTGATTACGGGTGGAGTTTCATTACAATCCACTGAGGATGGTGTCGAGGTAGGGCAGCCGGCTTGGGATCAAAAAGTCGCAGGTTCAATTCCCCGCCATGCCCACATCGTGGTGTCTGAGCAAGACACCCAATTCCTAACTGCTCCCCGGGTGCTTGCTCAGCTGCCCACTGCTCCACCTGGGCGTATCTCACGTGTGATGGGTTAAATGTGGAGAACTAATTTTGTCATTGTATAGAAACATACGATGACGACACACAGCACTGCACCTAATGAAATATTTTGCTAACACAGTACTGACTTTAAAAGGCACCCTATGTTCAGACTTTGTTCAGTCCTAACAGACGGCGTTATGAGACCGTTGAACGTCGACCGTTTTAACTTCGCTCGTCTTTTCTTACCCATCGGCTCCGTTTCAGTTTGCTCTTAGGATCATTGTTGTGCGACGTCCGTGCACTTTAATTCAGAAGAGGCTCATGTGGGTAAAATAATTTATTCTACATTTTTATGCAGAGCAGAGGAGAATCTGACGTGTTCAGATTATTTTAGGTCATTATCAGAGTTCAAATATTACAGTTTCCATAAACAAAGACCAGGAAGTTCCCCTTTGATGTCACTTCCTGTTTCACTTTGGCTGCTCCAAGTTCAAAATAAAATGTGCCAGTTCTGAGATAAAATAGATAAAATCATGTTTATGCCAAATTGATTAATTATTAGCACGTTTTCTTCCACTTTTGTATTTGTAGGATATGAACGTCACAGGTGCTTCATTTATGGCGGTGGCGGCCATTTTGAATTGGACTGACTTCAAAAGTCAGTTGTAGAAGCACGCCCAATGATTACTTTGAGTTTTATTCAAATTTATTCTGTTTAACAAAAATATTTTGCTAACAGACGACTGAGCAACAGACGTGAACAAAAACAGTGTCTCCCACCACTGAAAGACAAAAGTGGACCATAAAACGTTCTAATAATTTGACTAGTTCAAAGAAAATAGAAGCTTGTATTTACAGCTTTTGTCCAATTAAAAATAATTTCATGTAAAATTGATAAATTGAATGGTTTAATTTTGTTTCTTGGTTTGTTCCAGTTAGAAATGGGGGGAGAGGGTTATCAACTGGGTTCATGAATCGCAGCTGGTTCGATTAGTCCTCAGATAACGAACCCAGAGTGATTAGAGACGACTCCACGTTTCTGATGAAGGTTAGCGCCTCCTTCCTCCTCCTGACTTTGAGAAGGAGCAACATGTGGAGCTGATGTGGCTCCGTTCTCTTATTAGATCAAACCTCGGGGCCGGGGAGGACGTCCTTGGAGACGGGGGCCAAAGCTGCTCTTCATGCTTAAAATCGCAGCGTTGCTGGGATCAGCTCCAGCAGCTGCACCGAGCCGAAGGGTGTAACTCTATCTGTTTGTAATTGTCCATTACCACACCGGTTGTTGTTGCCCCCCCCCCCCCCCCCCCGCCATAAAGAAAAATCACGGACCCTACGCGCCCCAACACCAACAAAG